GCCTCTCTTAATTAGAGCAGTGCTTGGCTTCTCCAGGCCGCTCCGTGTGAGCTGCTTGTTCTCCGTGTCGCCTGGCCCTGAGTTTTCTACTCGTTCGCTTCACTGTTATCCCTCCTCGCTGCAAATACCCTCCAAAGATACTTCTCAGTGCCCCTCTGAGGAAGCCTTGGAAATTTCCCCATGCGAAAATGTATTTCAGATGCTGTTATAGGTGGTTCAGAGCAGAATGTCACACAAACCATGAAATTAAGGTGAAACGAAATTAAAGAGTGACCCTTGTTTAAAGTTAACAAACAGATCCTGTTAGCTGTGCCACCGAGGAAGGGTGTACCTCCGTAGCCACAAGGAATTTCTGGTTTCTGTAAAGCAACTGGCAGTTCTGAAATGAGTCATTTAGTTTACGTGTAATATATTCCCTATAGATTTAGCCCAGATTATGCCACAGATCCTCCACTTCCCTGCTAGACAGATGAAGACATGATGTAATTACTCCAAAAGGTTACAGTCAACATTTTGTCTTGCAGTGTGAGCATAATATTTTGTCTCTGAGAGCTGGAAATTGAAAGCATAAGGTTTATCAGCTTTTCATTCAAAACATTTTCCATTTCACCAAGATTTCCTGGTGCTTAGGGTCCCCATCAATGTAATTCTGGCTTTACCAGCATCACTGTAAAAAAGTTCATGTGAAGGTAATGGCTAATGTATTGAGGGAAGGAATTGTTTTGCATGTGATTCAAGGAGAAGATGAAAATCACGAGGGGAGAAAAAAGCATTAAAGAAATTCAGCAATTAGCTCTAATGAAATGCTGCAAATGTGGAGGTTGCATGTCGATTTCAGTTTCCATCTTGACACTCAACATATACACCTGAAGGTGATCATCAGAGTTCAGCCTGTGGGAAGAGAAATACATGCGAGGCAATTCTGTGTTGGTCTGAAAATTTGGAAGACAAAAGTATAAATCAAGGGCACATCTGGAATTCCCTCTTAACATGGCTTTAAATTGTCTTGAAGAACAAGGCCTACTGAAGGAAAAAGCACTAAAGGCATAATTGCATCATTACATCATCTGTTTTGAAACCTCTTAAATCTTTCTGCTTTTATTAATTACAATAAAACATAAATGTTAAATACCTAATACAAGCAAATATGATACAAGCCAGGGACAATTCTCATTCAAGCAGCGTATTCTCAAATATTTTGCCCACCTATAAGAAAAGTTGGAGCGGGTTCTATCAGAAATCTTTAAAGCCTGTCTACATTTCACTTCTCATTATTCTTCACACTGCATTTTCAGCAGTCTGAAAATGTGGCATTATCTCTGCAGAAGCCAACTGAGCATCTACAGTATCTATTAACTTGCAGAGGAGCTTACATAAGACAGAGACTACATACGCAAACAGTAGTTTTAAAACATCACGTTTGCAAAAAATTTCGTTTATTATACATTTATATTATTTCCCTTTCTAAGTTAGTATGATTTAGGGAATTCCTTTGTAATATCCTCTATCCTGGATATTTTTGCAGCCATGGTTACCAGGGGAAATATAGTTTCTTTACTGGTTTGGGGTGGGGTTTTTTGTTATTTTGTTTCCAACAACAATGAGATTTTCTGCTTTTGTGCTATAGAGAAAAAAAATCAACAAAAAACTCAAAACCACACTCTTGTGACCCTCTCATCCAGCACAGTTCCTCCTTCCCTTGAGACACTCACAACCCTGGGCTTTATACTGGAAAAACGGGTCCTGTTACGAAATACGTGTCTTCCACACAGCCAGAGACAAGGGCCCAGGAGCATTGTCCCCTTTTCTGGAGGTTTGGCACCCTGGGCTCATGGGCAGCCTAGAAACAACACAACTGAGGGCTGCCCCTCTTCTCTCCAGTGACTTTAGCATCAGGGCTGTGGGGAGGCTTCAGCAAAGGCTCTCTTCCCCCTCACAAGGCAGCTGCATTTCAGGTGAGGCTCTGGTCCTTGGCTCTGCTTGAGCTGGAGCTACACCCATGTGACAGCCCTGTCTGTATCCTTTTGGCCCAGACCTGCTGACTGGCTTCCTGCCCAGATCTCAGATCTGCCTCACTGTTGGGGACTTGCCTGCTGCTGATGGTACTGTGTGTGTCCCTGACTACCATCACCAGACTTGAGTCACTAGCTTATGTTGGCCTCAGATCTAAGCCATTGCTATTGACTTGTCCACCAATCTCGACTCTGTTGATTCCATACCCAGGCCCTCCCTGCTTGTCTTGCTCAGATCCTGTGAGATGGGGCCCTGGCCAGTGAGGTCCCTGCTCTGCCTCTCTCTCCCTTCTCTGTGTTGTGACACTTAGATCCCTATCCCTTAGGGAGCATCTCGCCCTTTTGGCTCCTGATGCCGAGTACTGTTGCATATACAAGATCACTTCCACTGACTCAGATCCATGGTGTATCTGGATGAGAATACTGTCTCTTAGAGGGATTGGTTCTTTCTTCCGAAGTACATGCTGTCCTTCAAAAGCAAGATCCAGGTGTAATGAAAAGGGAAAAAGCACTACTCATCTTTATCAAAGGGTCTGAGTGAAGTGTTATAAGTCAGCCAACCTCCATTTGTTATCTGGAAAAGTAATGAAACAAGCTATTCGGCAATCAGTGCACAAGCAACTAAATAACAGTAAAGTGATAAGCAGCAGGCACTCTGCATTTGTCCAGAACAAATCATGTCAAACTAACCAAATTTATTTCTTTGGAGATAACTGACTTAGTAAGTGCTGAACGGAATAGGTGAGACATGTCTCATGTAGGGCTTTTGACATTGTCTCGAACACCACTCTCATAAAGACAAATTGGTCTCAGGTGGCATTAACAGGAGAGGAGTGTGTGATTTAAAAGCAATTCCCAAACTGGTGCAATGGATATTTTCCTGTCAATAGAAAAGTATATCAAACGAAGAGATCTGATCTGTCTGCTAGATTGTTTGCTTTCATTAGCAACTTGAAGGGTGGAGTTGACCTTTGACTTCAAACTTCCACAAATAACACCAAGTCAGGTAGTACCACACCTTGGAGGCAAAGATTTCAACAAAGGTTTACCATTGCTAAATCACAGAAAGAGCCTCAAAACAGTGAAATGAAATTAACATAAGAACAATGTATGACACTTAGAAAATTTGAATTCTCAAAGTAAAAATGAGGGAAAATGTGTAGTCTTTGGTAAGATACTATAATGCACATCTAATCAGGGAAAGCACTTTAAGAATAACATAACTCTGCATTTGAAAATGTGGACTATATGAAGAGCCACTTTTTTGTCACAAAACCAATGCAACTAGAAAGGGACAATAGCCCAATCTGAGATATGCATGACACCAAATGATGCAAAAGTTATTTGCAGCCGCCACAGCAACCTTGGTTTGTGCCATCGGTCACATTGCTCTGAGGAACCAGGCATGGCCCTTATCTGTTTTACCTCCTCCTATTGCATGAAGTCTCCTCTCTGGGAGAAGACGCGTTTCCTCGTGCCCTCCCTCCAGCACACGCTAGAGGGCTGCTGGCCCTGGCAGAGGGACCTGCGCATCTGCAGAGAGCAGTCGGTGAGAAAGGAGCTGTAGGGTTCAGGAGCCTTGGACTCCACAGGTTAGAGACGGGAAGCCACAAGTCTCCAGTGCTGCCACTGCTTGAAGTCCATAAGGACAGGTTACGCCATATCTTTTTAAGGGGCAAGATAGATTCATAAAGTCTCCTGGTCTGCAGAGCATGATATTCCAGGCTGAAAGGCAAAATTATTGTGTTGGATTCTCCATCTTCCAGTAGATCACAAGTGGTTTATTTTACCCTTAATGATACTTCTTGAGACACTGGAGGTAGGGAGGGTGACTTGAACCCTGCTTCAAGATGAACAGAACTGACTGACGATTGTTTAGTTTTTTCTCTTGGCAGAAATCACACGAGGGCCCAGAGATCAAAATGGCAGCACAAGGGCATGCTGGCTCGTTTTGCTGAGCTTTGCAACTTTTCCTCAAAAGACAACAAGTGACCCCCCCCAGGAAATCTCTCAGCCTTGAAAACAAAACCCACAGCTTGTGGAAAGCTTCTGGGGCTAGTCAATGCTGTTGGAGACTTCAGGCTGACTTTATAGAACTGTGACTCCTGGAAGTTTATCTTCAACCTGAAAAAGCCTTCTGACTTCTTTATAAGTAAAACTCTATTTTCTCTGACTTAAAAGTGCATCCCTATACCATGGGATCTGACACATTTCCTAGGTGTGTTTTCAACAGAAGATCATAGGAGGGTTAAGCTGTGAGTGATTCCTTGCCTTTTCACAGCCCAATAGTATCTCTCTCATCTTGCTGAAAAGGCTAAGAGCATCACAGTATGGTTTGTAGCCAGTTCCATGGATGACGCAAAGAAGAGATGCACCAAGTAATTTTCACATTAATGAAATTACATTTGCTGCTGCCTTTCGCACCTTTAGGCTGAACTAAAGGACCAATTAAACCATTTATCCCAAAGTTATGAGAAGCCAAAAATAAAGATTAGGGAGCGCCCCATACAGGATTGCAGCTGCAGCTCCAGCAAGCCGGCAGAATATGGAGCGAGGACGCCCCTAACGCGGTGGCCAGGGAGTGCTGAAGCCCTACAGATGCTGATCCCCACGTGCCTGACGATGTCAGCGTGTCACTGCGCTCATGGCACGGCTCCCCAAGGAGAAAAGCTCCCCGTCAGTCGGCTGCTAAACCGGGCTTAGAATTTGGGGCCGGTCACAGAGAGGAGACCCTCCTCCCTTGGGCCGGCCTGCCCACCGGCCGGCCTCCCTTCCCCTCCCCTCCCCACCGGCCGGCGGAGGGTCCTTCCCCGGGGAAAGTTGCTCGGCGTTGCCCCGGGCGAGGGGCGGTGATGTGCGGCGCTGTCCCCGCCGCGTCTCGTCCGTGTCGCCGAGCTATTTATTTAAATAGCAGATAGAACACCTCGCCGCTCGCCGTGCCGGGGACACCGAGTCCGAGCGCCCCGCGGGGTCGGCAGGAAGGAGCACATGGCCTGGAGGGGAACCCCGGCCTCCGAGGCTCTGCTCTGCGCACTGCTCTGGGCGGCAGCGGCGGCAGCGGGGGGCGGCCCCGGGGACAACCCCGCTCCCGGCGCCTTTGGCCACGTCTACCGGGGCGCCGTGAACATCAGCGCGGAGCGGGTCTACGCCTTCGCCTACCGCAGCGAGCCCGGGCAGGTAGGAGCGACCCCCGGAGCGCCAGGTTCCACCCGGCGGGGCGAGCACCGCGTCTCCCTCACCCTCTCGGCTGGGGGGGTTGTGTGCCGGGGAGGTGCCGGCTCCGCTGCGGCTACGCCACGGTGCGGGAGCGGGCCGGGCTCTTCCTCTGTCCTGCCCGCATCCCCCGCCGCCGCGGTGGTCGGAAGCCGCAATGCACCTGCAGGCTCCTTCCCACCTTCCCCGACGCGAGCAGAGCTCCCCGGAGCTGCGGGCTGGGAGGGTGCCGGTGTCCCAGGAGCTGCGGGGTGGGCAGGGGGTTTGGTGCCCCCCACCCCCAAAGGGGGGTTTGATATCCAGCGGTTCTAGCAGCAGAATGCGTTTAAAGTCTAGAAGGGAGTTGTGAGGATAATAGTACTACATTAAAAATAATTTTTAAAAAACAACACAAAACTCACAAAAAAAAACAAACAAAAAAAAAAAAAAAAAAAAAAAAAGTGTGTGTGTATGAGCACTTAATAAGCCTTCTTAAATGCCGTTTTCCCCACTATGCATTTCCTTACGATCAAGGTGCTCTCCCCTGCTAGTCGGGGAGGTGAGGCAGGGCTGTGCAGGTGAGGTGTGTCGTGAGGAGGCTGCAGGGCTGCGTGGCCAGGGCCACCCATGACTGTTTGATGGTGGAAAGAAACCTGTCATTTATGTATACCCAGTTATTGTGGGTTCCCCCCTCCCCACTTTTTGTGTCATTTTATCTCAAGTAGCTAAGTGATACCTTGGAAACTGCCCCTGTTGTTTGGATTGGGTGTTAATTGCTGAGTAAGATGATCTGATATATCAAAAGATGGTGAACTGGATAGATGAATCTTCCCTCCTGTCCTCTGCTGTGCAGAGCAATAGAAAATGGAAACCATGGCTTTTTCCCACCCTGTATAGTATGTAATAAAATGCACCTAGTATTTATGGGGCAGCAGTTGGCTGGCTGGGCTATGATGCAACTGAGCCCAGCCTTACTTAACTATTGGGTGTCACCAATGATCTCAGAAGGCCAAAAGCACACTTTGGGCTTGAGCCTCCTTTTAGAAGCTGGTCAAAGTGTAAGTTAGGTTTCTTCAGGTGTTATAAGTACTGGGCATTATGATGAGGGCCTATTGGCAGTCCAGATGTTGTCTGTGGCTTGTTAGCAGAGACAGCACAAATACTGACTTCAGTTAAAATTAATCTAGTTCCTTCAATTTAATATGCTTTTTGAAGCCATGTGTTTTTTGCTGGACACTTTCTGGAAAAAAAGCTTTCTCTCCTGGAGAGCTACAGTGAAAGCATAGTGGGAGGAGGCAGGGAGGAACCACATGGCTGCTCAGTGGTGTTTGCAGGTACCTAAATGAAACTTCTAGACTACTTCTAGACACTAAGCTGTTCCTGTGGCTATGAAGTACAGACTGCTCAGTAGAGACTACTGTCTTACTTAAGCAGGAGCTTTAATGGACTAATCTCCATGGTCCTGTATGCTGGAACATGAAGTCTCTGCAGAGATAGGGTCAAGAGCATATCTAAGAAGGGGAAATTCAGGTTTGAGATTTAATATTTTTTTCAATGCAGAACTCACCAAGCACTGCTATGAATATGCTTAGGTTGGCCACACAAACAACTGTTGCTAGGAAAAATGTTTGGAAGACAAAAACCCTTTCAAAAGATGGACTTTAATAGAAAAAATTCTGATGAGGGATGCCTAGAACAGGTTCTGATGGTAGAGAAGGCTCTAAAGAGATTTTATTATGGCCTTTCAGTATAAAAAAGCTTATAAAATGATCAAAAAAAGCTTTCCACAGTGTAATGACAGAACACGGGGCAACAGTTTTGAACTGAAAAAGTGTAGGTTTGGGTAGGACATAAGGAAGAATATTTTTTTTTATGGTGAGTCACTGGAACAGGTTGTCCAGATAAGTTGTGGATACACATCATTGGGAGTGTTCAGTCAGGTTGGATGGGGCTTTGAGCGACCTGATCTAGTGAAGATATCTTCCTGCCCACGGCAGGGTGTTTGGACTCGATGATCTTTGAAGATAATCTTCCAATTCTGTGATTCCTCACGTGCTCTGCAGGTGCCATTTCTGAGATGAACCAGTGGAAGGTGGCTGACCTTGATTGGGGTGATTGGCTGTGGCTGTGCACAGCCCCTTTCCCAGCTGCAGTCCTGAACACGAGAGGCAAATGTGACTGGATCTCCTCTTGCTGACATGGTCAAAGTTTGAGCTGTCTTGGTGTTCCTGTGTCTCCCTTTTGTTGAGAATTGCTCAAGATTTAGAAGCTCGGTAGTGGAAATCTTGGCTTTAGTCACCAAGTTCTTGTGGGCAGGGTTTTCTTATGCAAAAGCTGGGAAGATGTTTAGGGAATGCTGTCTTCTTGGTGTTGGGTCTTGTGAATGAATGCAAGTCCTGCAAAAACTATTGCCTTTTGCAACAGTCTTAAACCTTGAACTCCTAGTGAGGGAATACCAGCCAGTGTTTGCCAGTTGCCTGCCACTTGTGAGCTCTCTGCTCTTCCTGGTCTTTTTGGTCTCTTCCTGTCTCTGTGCTGATGGCAGTTTAGCCAGAAGCCTCCGATAACTCAAGGCACATACCACATGGGCGATTAACCTTAGTTAGAGAAAAGTTAATTGAATAAAAAGAGCATTCCCCTTATGGAAGGGCTGCAGTGGATGGGTTTAATTGCTTTCCCCTCTGAAACAAAGTCAGGTCTGGAGTGATCTGGCTCTGAAAACAGGAATTTGTTTTCATGATGCTGTAAATTCTGCTGTTTCCCCCTCTGCTGCTCTCTGTCATGAGGCCAGGCCTACAAAGCAAGGGAAAACTTGGGGATAAGGACAAAATGTGAGGGCTGGCTTGTGATCCGTTAACCCTCTGTAAATTTGCTTGTTAGTGGTGTGCTATGGCTGCACAGGCACAGCTGAAAATGCAGCTGAATAGAGCAGTGCTTGAATGATGGATGAGAGAAAGTAGGGAACAAGACCTTTTCTCTTGTTCCGTGCTTTAGTGACTTGCTACTTTCTGAAAAGTGTTGTGCTTGCCTGATCTCAGAGGATGTTCTTCATCCACATCATCATCCTTACTCCTTGGGATATGGGAATGCATGCAAGACAGGAAGGAAAAAGTTAATCCCACGAGAGCATTCGCAAGCAGATATATACAAGGTGAAGAAACCACAGCTCAGGGCTCTGCAGTAAAGCTGCTTTGACACATGTGGCTTCCTTTCTGAACAACTTGTGGGTAAAATGAAAATGATGATACTTATATGCAGACCAAATCACCTGGCTGAAACTTCTGTGTGTAAATATATTGCCGGGTCTCTTCTCTCTGTCTGTGGAGGGGGGAAAGCCTTTCCATGTGCTGTGCCAAAACACTTTTCTTGAGGCAGGAGAGCTGAGAGCCTTTTATGTACTAGAATTTAGGCCTTAATTGCTGAGGTGGAACTGTGAAGGTAAAGCTGTGCTGAGGAGAAGCAAAGCCACCTCTGCTGCAAAGAAGTGCAACTCTCTTAGAGAGCTGGCCTGTGAACAAAGGCACATGGCAAACTCCTTCCTCTTGGTGGAAACTGTTGATTTGTAGTGTAGTCGTATTGCTTTTTGATTTCCCTTTTTTCCTTCTAGCCGCTCTTTGAAATTTCCCCATCTGTACAGCTGTTTGTTTTATTTTTAACTCTGAGTGTAAAAAAACTATAGTAATAAAACCAACTGTGCCACTTGTTGCTCTCATGCCCTAAGAGTAGAGGCAGATGTGCACTGTTAGAAGTCTGGTGAACAATTAGTTGGGCAAACAGGTTTATTTTATTTTAGGATTCTTTACACTGGAGACATCCAGAATGGGGGTAAAAAAAAAAGCATGCTCATTCCACATGTTCAACGTATCCCTTCTTGGGAGGGAGAAAGGAAGGAGACCTTTGCTGATTTGCTGGAGCTGCATGTGTGGTGCGTTCCTGCTCAGAAGATTGAAAATGTGCCGTGGAATTTTTCTCCTGGATTTACCACTAACTGGAGAAAGCTTTATGTGACAAATAAGAGAACCTGCTTAGTTCTGTGTTTGCAGTAATACCAGGGTTTTCAAAAAGCACAGTCTGTATATGAATACTGATGGAATTCAAAGTGAATGAGAGTTTCCACCACTGTAAGATCTGGCAGTTGCTAATGGTTAATTTGCTGAAAACAGAAATTACACTAATATTGTGCAGGTTGGTATGTCTTGTAGCAAATTGTCCAGGAGAATATCACGAGGAAGAAGACAACAGAAGTTCTTTTTCCTCATTGAAGCTCAGGTCAGCTGAATGTATGATTTGGGAAATATTTGGACTATATTTAGAAAACCAAGTATCTCTGAAGTGAACAAGTTTCCAACTTTGCATTTGTAGGCAAAGCTGCTGCAATCCAGACACAGTTCTTGGACATTCATGTAGTACATGTTGGCTGTGATGAGCTCCAAAGCTGAGCAGTGGGCTGCACCTATTTTAAGAGAAAGAGTGGGTGCTATTTCCCTCCTCCTCCGTTGCTAGGAACAGAGCCCTGTTCTCAGTTCCCATATGGCCCAACTTACCATAAATTGTGATTGACAGTTGATTAAGCTCCGGCTTCTCTGCTGAGCAGTTGTGCAATGTGAGGATGTGTAGCTCTTGAGTGAGTATCTTGTCTGTGAAGTCTATCTGAGGAGTGATGGGTAAAAAATTACCTTCAGTCTATGAGAGGCTGTGTGCAACCAGGGAGGGTTGCTACCATCATTACCCTTCATTTTTTCCACAGTTGCAGTTAGGAAAAAGTTGACTGTCCTAAAAGGAGAGCAGTATCAACACTAGCAAGAAGATCACAAGTCTTCCAATTACATGCCTTAAATTTTGTGACCAAGTGCCTTTTCCAGCCAAAGAATATGATGCATTTGTGCTCCTCTGACTTCTAGTGAATGGGTCTCGTTTCCTAGGTTTGGATGGTAGTTACACTTGCTTTCCTTTAGGCAAGAAGCCAGAACGGGAATTCACCCATA